GACGGACGAACAGATGGATGGATGGATGGACGGACGGACGGACGGACGGACGGACGGACGGACGGATGGATGGACGAACAGATGGATGGATGGACGGACGGACGGACGAACAGATGGATGGATGGATGGATGGACGGACGGACGGACGGACGGACGGATGGATGGACGAACGGATGGATGGATGGACGGACGGACGGACGAACAGATGGATGGATGGATGGATGGATGGATGGATGGATGGATGGATGGACGGACGGACGGACGGACGGACGGATGGATGGACGAACAGATGGATGGATGGATGGACATATTAATAAACTGATGGATGGATGAAATGAGGCTTTAGTGAGTCAGGATTTTGGGATTCGTCTAAAGAACTGCTGACTGATCTCTGCAGGTTCCTCTGAGAATCGCTGAGTCATGCTAGTTCATGTTATAAAGCATCGGTTTGTGCTGAGTCAGCGGTTTTCTCGGGTCGGCCCGTTTGGCGGCTGCAGGCTGCAGGTGCGTGTCGTCACCTCGGCGCTCTGCTGCTGCAGACAGGCCAGCTCCTTCTGGTAGAGGTCGGCGGCGCCGGGGTGAACCTCGGGCAGCTGGGCGTCCGGGTTCATCAGCTCCTCCACCGTCTTCTCCGGCACGCCCGCTCTGATGGCGGCGTTGATGCGCTCCACCGCCTTCAGCACTGCAGCAGGCAGGAAGTTAGGAGTTAACAACGGGAACGGACACAGCTGGGAGATGAATTAATAGATTTTAATGGACTGGACGTCATGTGACTTATCGAACGCCACTCAGCGGTTGATAAAATAAAACAAACACATAAAGAATCAGAAAAATGTGCTAATAACTGTTAATATTACGACAGCTGGTTAAAAACTGGGTCCTGTTTGTAAAGTTACACAGTAAAAAATTAACAGCAATATTTGAGTTTAATAGATATTCCATTTTTGCTGATTGGCATGCCAGTTTGCATATTAGCAAAACATTTAGCTAGCAACCAAAATATTTAGCAAGGACCAAAGTATTAAGCTACTAAAACTAAACAACAGTTACAAGCTAAATATTTCGGTGGAAACCTAAATATAGCTTGCTTGCTAAATGTTCAGTTTGTAAAATAAATGTTTAGTTAGGAAAATAAGTATTTGGAGTTTGGAGCTAAATATTTAATTTGAAAGTTGAATATTATTTTTAAAGTAAATATTTAGCTTGTAAATAAAATATTCAGTTTGGAACTCAGACATTTATAAAAAGAGAACAACATGAAAATATGACTTTAAAAATGAGTTCGTAAATTTACAAACAGCACAAAAAGATTAATAAAAGGTTTTATATGCTATATCCATGATAACCGTAATGCTCGGCAGTTCGGTGTGTTTCGGTTCAGTTCACACCAGCAGTCAGTGTGTGAAGCTCTTACTCTTCAGGTATCCGGCGGCGATCTCGTTCGCCACGTCCACGCCGCTCTGCAGCTCATCCTTCGTCAGAGGTTGTCCAGGAGACACCTAGCAGGGAGAAGTGATGATGAGGAGCCAGGAGAGCTAATCTGGGATTATCTGTGTGTGTGTGTGTGTGTGTGTGTGTGTGTGTGTGTATGTGTGTGTGTGTGTGTGTAGGTGTGTGTACCTGCTCTTTGTTCTCCCTCTCGCCCTGCAGCTGCTTCAGGTACCAGCCTTTGTTCTCAGGCTGCAGGTTCTGGACTCCGACGGCCTTCAGAGCCTCGTACAACTTATCCTCGTCTCCTCCAACCAGAGCCTGCTCTGCCGCACTCAGGGCATTGCTCACTGTAGGAGAAGGGTCAAAGGTCAGCCAATGTGTCAGGAAAAACAGGGCATATTCACAGCCTGTGCATGCAGCGCCCTGCAAAAGTGTGTCACATTGAAAATGCTGAGCCCAATAATACTGTCAAAGAAAATGTAGAAAAAATTGGTGAATGGAATCGATTATGTGGGATTTATGCAAATCCCACAAATTGAAGCTATTAAAATGATGCTGATACTTTATTCAGATGATACCTTTACCAATACCAAGTTTCAAGAAACTGACGAACTGACTTATTTAGCAAGCGAAGCAGTCAGAGGTTAGGTTTACATTTGGCGGCTCTTACCGTTGACCATGTTGATGTTGCCCTGGATTTCTGCCTGAGTCAGAAGCTCGTCGTAAATGTCTCGCTCTGCTTCGGCGTTCTCCAGTTGCTGCAACACAAACGGCAGCATTTTATTAGCTTCAGACAATAAAAACAGCCACTTCGAAGGCGGGGCTCGGTCCAGCCTGGCGGTTTGGGCAGCTGGTTGTCATGGAGATTAAAGTATTTCTCAAACATCCAAGTATGTTTATTATCACTTATAATAAGCTACGATGTTGGTTCTATAATTTCAGCCTTGTCATTCTTACTCGTTTTCGTGAGTTGGCCACCTTCTCCCCCTTGGCTTGGTAGAGCGTGTCGTGGTACTTCTGGGCCGAGACCGGGTCCAGGTTGAGCAGCATGGCGTTGGGGTTCTGCATGGCGGCCAGGGTTCCCTCTGGGACTCCCTGGTCGATGGCCTCGTTGATGGCGATCACTGCAGCGTGCACTGAGGACGGAGGAGCAGAGGGGCCGGCCGCTTCATTTTTAACTGAACTTAGATCAACTTTGCTGTGGTTGAAATGAAGCGATAACCGGCGGGAAGAAAGCCGCCAGCTGCTCTGAACGTCTAATCAACACATTTAATCCCAAATGGACTCCCACATAAACTGTAATGATGATTAATTATTTTCCACTGGCTGTTTAAATCAGATATGTGTTGTTTATTAGTGAGCTGCAGCGGCTACATTGCAGAACAAAAACTACGTATTTTTGTTTTTTGCAGTGTTTAACTGTAAAGTGCTGCACAACAAAAACACAAAACCTTATCAAGTATTTTTGGTCTAGTTTTCAGGGCAAATATATTAACACACTTCAAATAAGACAAAACTAAATTATAAGTAACTTTTAAGCAACATATTGGAGTTTGCTTTCAGTAAATAATCCTTGATACAGAATAAAAGTACAAGCTCCTCTGGCAGATCAATTCATTTGAAACAAGACATTTTTCTCAAGTAAAATACATTATTATGGCATTAATGATTTAAAACAAGCTCCTGTGTGTTGCTGACAAGTTACTTGTGAGTTAGTTTTGTCTTATTTTGGGTGGACTGAGATATTTGCACTAGAAAATGGACCAAAAATACTTGGTAAGATTTTGTGTTTTTGTTTTGAAGCACTTGCCACTGCAAAAAAACAAATTTTACCAAGTATTTCTGTCTAGTTTCTAGTGCAAATATCTCAGAGCACTTGAAATGAGACAAAACTAACTCACAACTTTCAACTTTCAAGCACAATATAGAAGCTTGTTTTAAGTCATTAACTGCTTAACATTGATGAAAAAGTACTTGATTGATTGGCACATTATTTCACTGATAATATGGGAAACATTTGTTGTATGTGAAATAATCTGCCAGTGGAGCTGGTCATTTGTTTGGGATATTTTAATTAAAACAAGCTCCTCTATCTTGCTGAAAAGTTACCTACGCATCAGTTTTGTCTTATTTTAAGTTTACTGAGATAACTGCAGTAGAATTGAGTCGGGTCTTGGTACGGTTTGGTGTTTTGCAGTGTCAGGCCCTCCCTCCGTTGACATCTGAACGCAGCTCACATGCAGCTTCGTCCACCGACAGCTCACTGGCCAGAATCCCTCCGATCTTGCTGAAGGCGGGCATCTGGATCCCGTACTTCTCCAGCTCGTTCTTCATGTTGTTGATTTCCTCCTCTGCAGGAGATGGCACAGAGCAGAAGCAACACATTCAGAGATGGCAGTGGAAAAACCGAAACCAGTAGGAAAAAGCAGGGACGAACTGTTCCTGGCCGACGTTTGACAGTGGGATTCCTGAAGCTGCCACAGACAGGAAAAGCTCTCACTGTTACTAATGGCTTTCACATTTCCAGCTGCTCCTTCTGGCCGCAGCTGCTCTGCCTGCCTCGTTCTCCTCTCTCAGGGTTTTACGGTGCGAACAGCTCCGCAGTATTTAAACTTTCATTTTAACTTTACAAACAAGGGAACATCTGTAATGCTGACGATGACATAGTCAGGTTAAAAATAGAAAGCCTGACGGAAATAGAGGCAGACTCCTCCGCTTACCCGTGAATGCTACTTTTCCATAAAGATCCTGGATCTGTGGAGCCAAACCCAGCTTGAACAAGTACAGACTGTTGAAATAATAGAAAACAGAAACATACAGTATGAGGTCAATTTTATACAGAAACTATAGACGTGCAAGAAAAATATGTGCATCATCATTAATCAGATAAAAAATTGGCACATTCTGCAAACTTTTCATTAAACTACTTAAGCAGTTTTTATAAAATATTAGACATGCATTAAGAGATGGAAATAGATAATTCAGTCCCCCTTTTAAATAAGAAAAGCATTTTATTGCCTCAAATGCGATAACAGCAGTCCTGTAGTGCAGTGGTCCCCGACCTTTTTATTACCGCGGACCGGTCGAGGCCCGGTGTGGGGGTGGGGGGGGGTCATGAACCGTCAGATAAGGTAGCCAATCAGAAAGCGCGGTGACGTCAGAACAGAGGGGAATCCCAAACAGCTGACATATCGCGGAAGTCCGGTGGACATCGGAGATGATATGTGGAAATATTTATTATTAAATCTAAAGGTCATTATTATGTTTATTCAGTTAAAAATGTTAACTATGAAAAAACATATTCACCTCCAACTCATAGTGCAGCAAATAGAGCGGCTGCTCCCGCTGTCTTTCATCCACCGCCTTTTCTTTTTGTTTCTTTTATCTCTTAAAATGACTCCACAAACTGTCACTATTGCTTCTACATCGTGTTAGGTTATTCTAAATTCCCGTATGCGATGTTGGGGGTTTTACTGGATTAACCTCTGGAATCGCGATGTTCGTGACCGGAATCGGTTCGTGTTGCTCCTGCCTTGGACACACAAACCTGTTGTACTTTTATCAGCTCTGTGGTCACAGAGGTTTGGAGAATCGGCCGACAATCCTTAAATCTTGCCGTCTAAACCAGACTTAAGACTCACAAGCTCTACTCATCTCCTCTTGACCACTGCCCAAACGCTCTCTGACTCTGGTCGCTATAGTAACGTTTACATATCCCTTCAAAATAACAGAAGCGCCACAAAAACGAACATTTTATTTTCGTGAAAATTTTAACTCATGATAATGACTAACGGAGCCCTGAGCTTGTGTCTCTGCAACGAGACATCAGGGAGTGATGGAGACAATAA